GCGAACCTAAAGGTCAGCGGTTCGAAACTACCAGCTGCTCCGCGGGAGAAAGATGAGGCTTTCTACTCCCGTAAGGATTTACACCCTCGGAAACCCTGTATAGGGTCGCTATGGGTCAGAACCGACTCGACGGCACGTAACAACAACAAACAACAAAGGATATAGAGACCAAACACATGTTCATGTTTGCCAGCTTTAGGCAGTATATACTGAGAGAGACCTGAAACATTAATAATGGATTGGTTCTTGTCAATAAAATTACTAAGTCAAAATCCTAAGGCACTAAAGTTGCACTGGGCTCATTCCTTTCTTCTATTTAGTTACCAAAGACAGAAAATATTGGCTCCACCCTTTAATAAACAATCTCCCCAAACACTTTATCTATCAAGATTTTGCACATAATAGCATAAAATAAATTAAACACAAAAAAGTGCTTAACAGTAAATCATTTCATTCTCTTTTTTATGAAACTTCATATCATGTGACAGATTATTTAGGAAGACAGACTTTCAGAAATAAAATAGAAATAGAAGAAGAGGTTCATTTCACCTTCACATGGTGTCTTTCTCATGCAGAGTTCAGATTTCCACATTTGTATCCCTTTTAAGGATTTGATATGCAGGAAAAGAAGAAAGGATGATGGTAAACATTTCATCTTAGAGACACCTACAGACCACCAGATTCCAAACTGAAGAGTGGTCTAATGCTTACCTTTTACTGAAGTGTTAGGTGGAGGGCCTTCCATTCTCAAGTTCCACGGAGGGTCCCCTTGGTTAGCAAAGTCCCTCATTTTCAGATAGCTAATTGTAAGTCTAATGATGGAGGCCTTGTCAAGCTGGCTGGTGATGGCTGCAGGAAGTGGCAACAACTTGGCCAATTCATAGAACTCAAAATTTTCTTTTCCCCGGCGGGAGCGAGCAGCATCTCGGGATTTCTCCTTTCTCAAGGCTTGTAAGCTGAAATCAAAGAATGGAAAAGTGCTGTTTAGAAGATGGGATTCTGCCATCAGACAAAAGCTACTTTAGTTTCATTTCCGTTTTTAATAGCATGGACCTATCAAAAGCTTCAAATTTCGAGAGCATTAAAAAAAGAACTCTAAACAACATCCACTAAAATCATAAATTTTCACTCAGGCCTTATATCCCATAAACTCAAGTTCAGTGAGTAAAAATTAGGGCTTTTCTTGTTAGGTTTATTTTTTCCAATTTTCCATGCATTGAGATACATTCACTGAATCCAAGACATAAGGTTTATAAGTGATTCTTGATGCTGTCAGCTATAAGCAATTTAAAAGATTGGGCTTGTTTTCATACATACACTTTCAAGCCAATGATCCTGTTCATTTAACTTTCATCACCATGGGATCTTAAAACATCAAAAGGACACATTTAAAAAAAATAGATTTCCATATTCATCTTGGTGAACAAAGGTTAAACATGAACACAATTCATTCTGACAGAATCAACAAATATATTGTCTATGTGTTTCCAGCCCTGAGGAAGGATAAAGACCTTCAGTCACATAAAGAAAACATCATAGTGAAAATGAAGATTTCAATGTAACTATGTCGATACTGGGCTGACAAATAGTTATTTACCAATGGACGTTCATTGGAAGATGAATAGATTCCATTAGATACTAGAGAATAAAATATATTTCTCAAAAAGTCAAACTTAAGGATAATATAAATTTAATGTTGAATGATAAAACCTTGTATGGGTTATTAAAATTTATAAATATTATAGACATATTACTTCACAGATGAGACAACAGGTGGAATCCAGCACTTTCCTTTAAGTATTCATGTGCATTTCTGTTTGAAGTATGCTCACATTGCTGTGGGCAGAAGTTGCCACAACTGCAGTTGTGTGTGAGCATCTGACAGGAGAATTCCACCCACTCTGAACTGTTCTGTTTTGTCTCTGACAATAAATTCAAAATCAGACATTGATGACAAGTAATTGGGTAGTATTCACAGTATCAACATGCTATTAAAATCATTTATATGTGTCTATTTTATTGAAGGAGCGCTGAAGGCATTTTCATTCATTGTATCTGGCATTCTTGTTACCATTGTAAAACAATAAGAGAGCAAGAAACAAGAAAGGATGCATGCACAGCAGAATAGAATGGGGTTGCCAATATGACTGCCTTCTGTACTAGTTAGTACAATATGTAGAATAATATTCCATATTCCATATAGCATACTTGACATTTTCCAGAGTGGAAACATTATATTCACAGATGACTCCCCAAATATTTGGCCTGATACTTACATAATTTAAGTAATGCTGTCAGACTCAGGTCAGTTACTCACTAAGCTAATAGCAAAACACATTTCATTTTTACTCTATCAAAAAATATTCTGTATTATCTAGTTAATGTGTTTCTCAAAAGCAGATCAGTTAATATTATTTTCAGAGTCACAGCAGTGTCAGGTGACAAACCTTTGTCCCTTGATGTGTCTCAGGTCATAACCTCTAGCAGACACATTGCAAATTTACAAGGAAAAGCTATGTTAAGCCACATAGTCCCCAATATCTTGGCCAGCCTCCATTCAATTATATAAATGCTAAGTGTTAGATTGTTGAAAGCTATGTAAATAAAGTGAGAGAGATCTTAAAATCTGACAAAGAATAATATGTACAACCAGGATCAATCATAACATCTTAGGATAAAAGAATGATGCACACTCCTCACTGTATTTAATAAAAGCAATCCATCTAACCCCATTTGAGTCAGCTGTGCCAAAAGGGCTATGTGTTTTGATATGTTTCCTCTACCACTTGTATGTAGGGAAGGTGCACTGGTTCAAGTTCAGTGCGTTGCTCTCTTTGTGTTCTTGTAATTGAATACTGCTTCAGAAGGTGGACTAAAAGTACTTTTGTATGTGTTTGTTTTCATACTGTAAATGACTATGATGGAGCTTTAGATCAGGGGTCACACACTCAGGGGCCTTCAGGGTTCAGGCAGTGGATATAAATGAATAACAAGGTCTGCGGAGACTGTGGGCACTAGAGGACACTACCACACACTTGGAGACTGGCTGCTGCCTTTGGGAAGACATGCCTGATATTTTCAGATCTTTTCTTCTTTGTAGAAAACAAAACCTAAATTTTTATAAGCCAGTTCCCAGTTTTAACATATTAACTACTTTTTTAAATGCTTAAGGTGAGCTTGTTTCTGTTTTTAAGTGCTATTGAGTTGGCTCTGACTCATAGTCACCATGTATAGGGTTTCCAAGGAGGAGCTGGTGGGTCTGAACCAAAGCCCTGTCAAACTAACCTTGTGGTACAGTGCTTATCCTACAGTACCATACCAGCAAGTCAAATAAAATATGTTTCTGGTCTAAAATGAATCAAAATTCACAAAGTCTAAACTCACTGTCCTGGAGTCGATCCCAACTCATAGCAATGCTATCTAAGGTTTTCTCAACTGTAAATCTTTAAGGAAACAGATAGCCTCACCTTTCTCCCATGAAGAGGATGGTGGGTTTGAAACGCAGACCTTGCAGTCAGTAGTCAAGCGTTTAACCTACAGTGCCACCAAGGCTACTTAAAATGGACCAAGGACCACTTTACAACTAGGTAGCAAGTGGAGAGGACAACTTTGAAGGTGCTTTTACATGGGTGTTACACAGAGCATTTCTTTATACAGATCACTGAAATGATCACCAATGAACTCCTTTTTAATCTAATTAATATTTCTATTATTAGTTTCAACTTAAGTGAAGTGTAGGAATAGGCAATTCTTCTGAAATCGGTTATCAGTGGCCAGGCATTTCAATAACATAAACAAAACATTCACCTTTATTGGAGTCAAAGTGCCAGGTGACAGGGACAACCCAAGATTCTCTGAAGGCTAGAGAGATAAGGATGGATTGCCTATTATCATCTCAGGGAAGGAGAGCTAGTAGACATGGATAGCTTTGGTATTCTTGCCTGAACATATGGATGCCTTTGGAATCCTTGCCTGTACTTTCTTTACTAAAATTTAGGCCAAATTTACTTTATGTGTTCATGCCCCACCTCCTTGTTGATTTCTTTCCTCTGCCAGTACCTCTTATTTTTTTTAAAATGCAAACACACACTGTGTTACCCTACTGAAGAAATCTTGGCCATAATTGTAATGGAAAAGTATTTCCCTGACTCCCAAATCACATCATTATCTAGGCACTCTAGGTTCAGAAGACTTGCAGAATGATAGTGCTGGGTCTGTAATAAATAGTAACTGGTTTTGAAGGTTGCAGAATTAAACAGAGTCAATGGATTACAAAGATTGTTGGGATGCTGATATAATAAATAAAACTAAGACAATGGCCCAGCTTGTAGATCCGTGCTTTGCCTGCCTCTGTGAAATAAAGCATTTATAAGCAATTCTAAAATGGAATTAATGACTACATTAAAATCCAAAATAAACTTTATATTTCTTAATTTTGCTCTGCACCCAAAAAAAAAGTGGTTGCACTTCTGAAATATTAAAGAAAATGAATTGTTAGTTCACGAGTAAAATGCTACAGTGCTGATCTCTGCCATTTAAAATATGATTCAGATCCACAATAAGTTACCTCCCTCCCACTGCCCTGAACTACTCCACTTAGATTCAGAACAGAAAGGAAAAGATGCTGTTTGAGAATCCTCAGATAGTCAAAATTTCAATTATATTTGATGCCTACCATTAGCACCATTACCACCAGTTATGACGAACACCAACAAAAACAGTAACAATAAAATCAAGACTTTTAAAAGATACACTTACACATGTATGCATAATTATCTGGAAGATAATGTACAGAAATGCATTCTACTGGAAGGCAGTACATGCTTTTCAGATTTTCAAAAGTTGTCTAGAATGCCAACTCAAAAGTATATAATGGCTCTTTAGAATTTCCTGTTATAATGTCTATTAAGTTAGATTTTACTATCTTTTTGTCATTGCTGTTGTCAGAATTAACTTATCCTAAAGAAGTATCCCTGCCTTAAGAAATATTAAATGTATGTTTCTAGTCAACACTGACACTATTCTCACCGTTGTTAAATATTTACATTAAGTAATATTTTAATTCTTCCTCCAAAAAGTAATGACTTGTAACAAAAATGTAAGGAGAGTGCTTTGCTGTTTTTCTTAAATGCAGTCAAGTCAGTTCCGACTCATAGCAACCCTGTAGAGAGTTTCTGAGGAGTCACTGGTGGGTTTGAACCACCGACCTTGCTGTTAGTAGTCCAATGCTCATCTTATACTGCCACACCAGGAGTCTATGTGCTTGATAGAATGTTAACTACTTTCTTTGGACACTCTCATTCAAATATGTTGTACTTCAAAAGTGGTACATCTTGTGGGGCTAGTCTTGGTGATGGAGTTAGAAGACCCACCCTGGCCATTTGCAGGCTTTGTGACCCTAAGTCATAAACTGGAACCTCAGTTATATCATACGTAATTTGAGGATGGCAAATAATGTTTATTTCGTAAATATCTGAAATCCTTGAAATGGCTCATGTGATCATTTTCATGGCATTACGTAGTAAGCTATGAAGCAGTAAACTCTTAGGACAATTCTAGATTTTCACAACTAAGTTTGTAAATTCTAAATGAGGTACAGTATACATCACAGTTTAAACAATTTTTTAAGTCAAAAGAATTTTAAGAAGTTGGAAAGACTTAGGAATTCCCTGAATATAATTAATCTATTCTTAAAACTCCTTGAAAGTATAGAGTCAGGAATGTGGACTCTGGAAGCAGACTGGGTATTCACATCCTCCTACAGTCACTTAGCTGGGCACCACTGAGTAGATCTGGCAATCTCTTTAGGCCTCAATTTCCTAATGTGTAGAGTAGGCACGAGATACCTACTTCATGATGCACCTACTTCAAGTGCTTGCTGCCATTGTTGTTTAGTGCTGTCGAGTTGGTTCCAAACCATAGCAACCCTGCATACTATTTCCAAGGAGCAACTGGT